TTCACTTGAGGTCGGTCATTCACTCGGCTGCCTACGGCAGCTTAGTGAATAGACCCCATACTCTCCCTGCTGCTTAGAGCCAGGAGCAAGGGAGCTAGTAGGTTAAAGCAGAACTCCAGGCACAAAAACATTCATTCAGATATATTCCTCAATAGTTACAGGATGGCCAGGATATAAATTCACTTTGTGTGCACCAAATGCCTTGGTGCACATATTACCTTGTAAAAGTAGCAGTGACATTACTACTGTGCTGTACATAGCCTGTGGACAGAACAGAGCTGTAGGAGGGACCAAATAGGCTCCACCCACTACAGGCGCCTGCAGAAAACTACAGGAGGGGCAGAGACAAGACCAGTCACCCTGCACAAAAAGAGACTGCAACAGTGGCCGGTCTTTAATACAGAAAGCTCCTGCACAGAGGCAAAGTTTTAAACTGGATTACTGCACAGATCTGGAAAAAATACACAAAGTATACCAAGATACAAGAATACATGACTCTTGTATTTAGTCAATATATATAGTATGTGTGTGTATATATGCACGTACAAGGAGACATCAATAATGTGTAGGCAGATGCACACACTACAACGTACATATGCTGAATTTACAAGAGTGATTTGTTATTCTGTGTCCTGTGGTGTGTTATGCTGTGTCTGCTACCGACATAGAGGACAGAGGATGGTACCATGGTGAATGGCGGGAGACACTGGCTTTGGAAATGTTAAATGCTGAAGATTCTCTTGGAGGTATAACAGCTCTTCTATTGCAGGAACCTTTCCTCTGTTTTTTTTTTAAAGCCTGCCAGGGTTGCATTAAAGGAAATTGTAAAAAACAACAACTAATTTGTATAGAGGGCATATTGACTATGCCTGTACCTTTAAACACATGCACAAAAGTCCACACACCAACTGTCGGATAAATGACAGTACCGCATGCCTCAAGTCATAATAAAGTATTTCTTTTTAATATCACCCTAACCGTCCACTCCGCTCATCCCAAGACCTCCTGCTTTCCAGCTCCCTTGTCAACTCCTCCCATACTCGCCTCCAGGACTTCTCTAGAGTCTCTCCCAGCCTCTGGAACTCTTGACCCCAATCTGTCCGTCTATCTCCCACCTTGACTGCCTTTAGGCATTCCCTAAAGACTCATCTGTTCAGGGAAGCCTATACCACCTCAACCTAACCACTGAACCATCACATTCTCAAACAATTCATCCCCACACAGCTACCTCCTCATGTATCACTTGTCCCTCCCTTTTAGATTGTAAGCCCTCATGGGCAGGACCCTCCTAACCATCTTGTCTTAAATTGTATTGTGATTGTAATGTCTTCCTTATATTGTAATGCGCTGTGCAAACTGTTGGCGCTATATAAATCCTGTATAATAATAATACTCTGAATGGTCTGGGGTTGTTAGTGGTGTCCCCCAAGGTTCTGTGCTGGGCCCCTTACAGTTGTATCTCTTTATAAATGACATAGAGTTGGGGACTCAACAAATAATAAAATGTGCTGGGGTGCAAGAGTTACCGCAATATATAGTGTCTTAAACAGACCCTTAGACCCCGTTCCCATTGAGCGATTTATCGCGCGGTAATTCACGCGATATCGCGGCAAATTACCGCGCGATATCGCGCTCCAATGCAATCCAATGGGGCAAAGGGTCCTGCTGTCGCAGGTCGTGTGTCGCTACAGCAGGACCCTTTTTGGAGCGGATTTAGCCGCGATTCAAGCTTGCTCAATGCAAGCTTGAACGCGACATCGCGCGGCAAATCTCGCGATGTCGCGCAGTGGGAACGGGGCCTTATACCCCAGCAGCTGGCTTGTGAACATTGGAGGAACGCTTCTGCGGTAAAATGTACACAGGCGTTTGACTACTTTCTGAGCTGCATGTAGAAGCATGTAAAAAAAAAAACTTGATTCAACACCCTGAGCAACTCACAGCAATTTAGAAACGCCTGAAAACATACTACATTTGACTGTCTTGGGTGTTTGTAGCCTGCATACCTGAGTCCTTAATCACCAAAACGTATCATGTTCCGGGTGTCACATTTCTGTGTACCTGCTGCAGGCAATCCTATTTTATTGCTGAGTGTACCTGATAGAGATAATCTGCTCACTACCTGCCAAGCTGACTGCACAGCCAGCAATATGGGATCACCGACAGCAATAAAGACCCGACAGAGGTTCCAACTCGTTTAGGTTACAGTTCTACCTTGTGTAATGGTGTTTGCTTTAAAAAATAATAATATATATATAATATATATATATATATCTATCCTTTAGTGAAGTCAGTCCCAGTGCGTGTATGAATAGCAGCATTTCTGGTGTATAGAAAACGTACCCAGTCATACAGTTTATGAAAATAATACTGCACAATATCGCACACCAGCTTTACTGATCAATCCATATTAAAAAATCCTTATTTCTACTCTGACTATAAATGACACAGTTCGGTATTAACACATAATTATTAATCATCTACTTGCTGCAGTAACATGAATAGTAATCACCTCATATACATAAATTCATAAAGCAAAGGAGGACTTAAAAAAAAAACAGGCAACAATGGCCAATTTATTTTATTTCTATAGTCAATATTGACCACGTTCACTACTTAGTAAATCCCCATACTTCTATAGGCAACTGATATCTGATGTCCTTTGTACATATATATTTCTCCCAAGACAGATTTACCTTTGCCTTAGTTTTTTCTATAGTGTACATGTCTCTTAAAGGAGAACTATGAGGTGAGTGAAAATCACTCAGCCTCGTAGTTCGAGCCGACGCGTGACAATCAAACTAGATAGGCAGAGCCAGCTGTCAATCACGCAGCTGGGTGGATCTCGACAGTAATGTCGGGATCCATCCCGGCTGCGGCAGTCTCAGTATAGCTCGCGGTATACTGAGCTTTGGGTCACGGGAGGACGCTAGTTTGTGTCCTCCCGTGACCCTTAGGAGAACTATGGGGGAAAACACTTACCCCTTGGTTCTCCTTTAAGCTTTACTACATGTTCAAGATCACAAGAAAGTGATTTAGACAGATCTGCTTTTCACGGCTGTATGTATACAGTTAATAAATAGGGAACAATGCCATTAACATGGTCTAGGTTCATGTCCAAACATTTAGAAATATAAATCTTTATCTGCCGTCTAACCATCCATGATGCAGTTTGATAACAAAGTAATTTGTAACTTTCCTGCTGGGTTTTAATTATTCTACATAACTGTCAAATGTGTTATTTTCAAAAATAACAATAATTGGCCCTTTGGTGATCCTTGAGGTACACCACTGCAAATATCATTCAAGGTGAGTATGACAATAGATATAGCAAAGCTTTATGTATTATCATGCCCCATGTAAGCAAACCAGTATGTGTCTTACCGTTATGTTTATTTATATACAGTTCCAGCAGTGCTTTACAGGAGTGAATGCAAGCATTATACTTTGATGATAATGCCTAATTAACTAGAAACATCACTTGTGGGGGCCATACTTGCTGTGGCTTAGGAGCTAAGGCTGGCCATTCACATAGCAGTTTTCATTATTGAGGCATTTGCGCCAAGAATCATTATTGGCAATCAGGAAGTATAGATATGGTGTACCTGTAGTAGCAAGGCTTGGCCAAGCCCCTTTAATGCATTTACTGTTGCTGGATTCCTCCTTTATTGTGCATTTTTCCAACTTTTCTCGTCGTTTTTCTGTGCCCCCATTTAAATGTGTGCCTTCTCTTTACCATGTGTCCCCCGGTATCATCACAGCATAATTACACATCTGTTGCAGAGTACCTATATGCTTTTCCAAGCATTCCCTGTGGTTGATCATATTACATCACAGATTGCATACTACGTGGGGGTGCATCGGGCAGTGTCTGTGTCCCCTGCACTCGCCTCATAACGTCCCTGCACAGCTTTATCTTTTATGCTAATGCCCCTTTGGAAAAGTCCTGAATGTACAGGTACTGAAAATACATACAGTAAACTCATTATTTGGCATTCAAGCAACCGGCACTCTCAAGCAACCAGGACAAAAACAATCGAGAACTTTTGACGGTGGATTGATGCACATTAAAAAACTGCCGGTTGCTTGGTGCACAGCACACTATAACATTTCTCTCTCAGGTCTGCTCCTCTGCTAAGTAGGTGGGGTTTCAATAGCCAGCCTGCTATTGGCTATTGCAATTTAAAATATCCAATAGCAGGCTGGCTATTAAAACCCCATCCGCCAAGCAGAGGAGCGGACCTGAGAGAGAACTTTCTCTCTCAGGGCCGCTTCCCTGCTCAGTGGGCGGGGCTTCAATAGCCAGCCTGCTATTGGCTATTGCAATTTGAAATTGCCAATATTAGTCCGGCTATTGCTCCCGGCTGCTTACATTCACCTTACAGATGCCGACTGTGTGAAACCGTGGGAGGGTGGTTGCTTGAGAGTTACTATTAAGTCTCAAGCATCCAGAAACTACAGTTATCCAGCAGCTACCGATCCCTGTGGGTGCCAGATAACTGGGAGTTTACTGTATTGAGGAGAGAAGGACAGTGGGGCTAGATGGCAAATATCCTGCCAGATTTTTCAAATGGGGCAGGGTGATGTTCACAGACAGAACCCTAGATTAGCATCCACCATGGAGGATGTGGACCCAGCCTGGCATGGTGCATTACAGTATATGCTGGTTGTTTTTTTTATATAAAAAAAAAAATACTGAAAAATGTCTTCCTTTGAGTCATCTCCACTCTACTATGGCGTAATACTCCCATACTGATATGATAACAGAGTTTATTATACTGCTGTCTCTTCCTGCTGTATCTACAGTACAGCAAAAGAAAGAAACATAAAAGTGATGTGTGGTTCAACCCATGGAAACTCTGATAATACTGAAGTCCCAGGCTTGCCAGATAACACATGAGCCAATTCTGAAGTTGAATGCAACAGTGTGAGTAAATCTGGTGAGGTCATCACATGAAAAGAGAACTGCTGATATAGTATTATTTTTCAGTATTGGTGTGATGCAACAACATCTCAATTCTTGAACTTCTGCTTGGTAAGTATTGTTTTCCAGTTGTCATGCTACTATTTTTTTAATTTGAGCTAGTTCTGCTGTATAATGTAACAATTATGCACTATTGTTTTTAATATATTTACATCAATCACAGATGAGCTTGTCAATGTCAAATGCATAAATGTGTGCGTTTATACATAAAGCAGCATTTATAAGGTGACTTTTCCTCTAAGGTTTAGTTCACATGAGTAGTCCCACTGCTCAGGGTAATAATTAACTAGCCCGTATATACCCCTTCATTACCAGGTTGTTTTTCAGTGATCAGTGTTGTGATAGTTTGACAATTTCTCACTCATGCAACACTGTACCCAATTGAATTATATATTTTCTTTGAGGCAGATAAAGCCTTTTTTTTGTGGCATTTAAAGAACAACTCTGGGCAAATGACAGATTAACCCTTGCAGCGGGGCTACCCCCACACTGCAAGGGTTAGGTGCTTGTTTTGATCTAGGGTCTAAAATAAAGAAAATATATACTTACTCACAGGGCCGGTGCTGCCACTAGGCAGCCGCCTAGGGTGCACTGCTGCCTAGGGTGCACTGCTACCTAGGGCGCAGCCCTGACCATTCATCCCCCACGGTGCCTCTATTTCAAATTGCAAAAGCCAATGGCAGGCTGGCTATTGCACCCGCCCACTGAGCAGAGGAGCGTAACTGAGAGACAACTTTCTCTCTCAGGTCCGCTCTTCTGCTCAGTAATATCAATATCAGTGTCAATATCAAGAGAGCAAGAGCTGGTTACACTCCTGTACTCTCAAAAGATGCCATCATTAAGGTGGTAAAATCCCACACATGTGCGTTACTTACCACACTGTACAGCCAGTACTGGGCATGAGTAGGATATTACTGTCATGTTTCTGACATCACAGCAGGCTGGCAAGATCATGCCCATGTGTGGTAGTGGCAGTACGGACCAGCCACTACCACTCAAACACAGGATATCACCACCATATTGTTGGTGGCCTGTCAGAAGTGTGGGATGGAGTTTCACTGTTACATTGTGTACAGCATATTGCACATGCTTGGACCAATATTGTATTCTTCTGCTCAAGCATGGGGGAAATGTAATACAGAGCAGCAAAAGATGGGGCACATATAGGGCAGGGCTCAAAATTTCCACTCGCCCCCTTGCAATTTGCGAGTGAAAATTGCGTGGGGGCGAGTGGAAATGAAGCCTCCTCGGGGCGGCTTCTCTCCTGTTCACCTGATGACCTGATGACAGCGCTCCCTCGTCCGTCCGTCTAATCAGGGGGCGTAGGAGGGAGCGCTGCCTGCTGTCAGGATGGTGGAGTGGTGAGGGGGAGAGAAGCCGCGCCCGCAGCTGTCAGGATGGCCGAGCGGGGAGGAGATCGGAGCCGCTGTCATCCTGTCAGTTTCAGGATGACAGCGGCTCTGTGCGTAGCAGAGCGGGGGATCGGTAAATATCATTGATATTTACCGATCCTCCATGTGAGAAGGACAAACACTGGAGCGATCGTCTGATCACTCCAGTGTTTGTAAATAACTGGGGACACATAGTATACAAAATTATTTTAAAAAAGTGAAAACTGCTCCCCCCCCACGCATTTTATTAGACATCTGCGAAGACTAAAAATGTATTTCAGATGAAATGTGTATGTGTAATGCTCTGTGCGTTGTGCTGTGGCTGTATGTGTAATGTCCTGTGCGTTGTGCTGTGGCTGTATGTGTAATGCCCTGTGCGTTGTGCTGTGGTTGTATGTGTGTTGTGCTGTGTGCGCGTTGTGCCCTGTGTGTGTTTGTTTGTGTTATGCAGGGCAACTGGTGGCGAGTAACTTTGAAGGCCTGGCTAGTAGCTCAGGACCTGAAATTTTGAGCCCTGATATAGGGAATTACATTGTGCATGCGTGGGGCAAAGTCTATTGACAAATTAAGCATCATTTTGTGTGACAAAGCTGCCATATTTATAGACAGAACCCTGATGCATAAGTGAAGTTATTTAAAAAAGGAAATCATTTGAAATATACCAACTAACCAAGGGATCATCATCATCCTATATGTTTATTATGAACGGGGAAAGAAAAATGTCAATATACAGTAACTATAGGAAAGGATTATCTACTATTATTGTGAGATTTTAGTTGTGTGTTAGTGTGGGCCACCATGCCTCTGTGCGTAAGAGAGCACATCGATCCGTCTTTTCATGGATCTACTTTTAGAGCATTTAGATGTACTTTATACCTGGGGGAATCAATCAGACTGTTACCTACAGATACTGTATAACCCCTGCTCCTGAAAATACCCCCATTGCCTCTTGGGGTTGCTTTTTATGTACCTTCTGTAGTGCTATAGCATTCCCACTTTAGGCTCTATTTCAGCATTTGACACCAAACAGAGAACCTGCAATACCTACAGTATATGGTTCCAGTACCACCACCAGTAACAACCAATATGCAAACATGACTGCACTTGTTTAATTTAAACCAGTTAATGCACATTAAGTGTGTGTTGCTTTCATTTTTGTATATTGTCTGTCAACTTATTTTGCTTTTCTTTTTTGTTTTCTGGTCCTGCTCAAGACCAGTGTTGTAAGTTATCTGCATTCTATTAATAAAAAGACATTTTGAAAAGAATCCCTTTTCTCACACACAAACGCACACATATACACACCACAGATGCCTGGGGAAAAGGTTACCTTAGCAATTACAAAGCAAAGGTCACCCCCAATCTATTACTGTAAATGTACTTTCAGAATATATTTCAAGAATCGAGTGGGTGACACTTTTGTGACAGATTTGTGTCTGTAGCTGGGGACACAAACCACTGTGGGAAAATCCCTCCACTGGAGCTTCTTGTGTGAAAATGACGTGATTCAAACCCTCAATGAATACCAACGCTGAAATCATTACTTTTGAGTGCTTTTGGCCCTAAATATGCACCCATCTGCGTTTTAGAATGAAATAAAACATAATAGTGTTTTTTCTCTCTCTTTTAATGTTAAACAACTGCATTAAACAGTCTGGGATTCCTATGAATTTTCTATGTCTTTATGTTCTTGGCACTATCATTTAGGGCTGGTTCACATCAGCATGCCACGCTAAACGCACAGCTGATGGTGGGCGCTGACAAAAAACAGAGAACAGTGCTGATGCACTGATCTCGGCGCATCACACTGTTGACATTTCATTTAATTTTATCTGCATAGCGCAGAGCGATGTTGTTGTGCTGCATTGCACTTCACGATAGACTTGTGCGCCGTCAAAAAATTTGTTCCGTTTCGTAATATCAATTATTTCGTAATTCGTATCCGAAACTCAATTCGGATTCGTACGAAATACGGATTTTCGTTAGTTTCGGCACATTTTCGTAACTTTACGAACACTCGTTATGATGAAGTTAAAAAGCAAAAATACCTTTGTTAATATTGGAGTCGATGTGGTAGTTGTTTTTTTATCCGAAATACGAATTCCGTTAACGGAATCCGTATGCGAATTTCGTATTTCGGACTTAAAAAAAAACTACAATCAACTCCAATATAAATGTACTTTGCTTTTTACCTTCAATATATAACGAATGTTCGTAATGGAACGAAAATACGTCAACGGAATTTCGTATTTCCTGCCTGTGTATTGTAATGCAACCCTCAGCAGCAGCGGTTCCGTATTTCAGATTTAAAAAAAAACTTGTCATGTTGTTCAACCTCATTTACAGGGGTAATATTAGTTCCTGTTTCAAAGAAATTCGGATCCGAAATTCATTAACGGAATTTCGTATTTCGGATATAAATTCAGAAGCTGCAATTCGGATTTCATATGCTTACGAATCTACGAATTTCAGGAAAATTCGTACGAATTTCGATTCGTAACGAAACGAATCGCACATGTCTACTTCACTGTAAAAGGTAATGCATGCGGGACTGTTTCTCAGCAAACACCACCACATTGCAGTGGTGTCAACTGAGCCGACTAAAAACAAGGTAAATTGCGTTTCCACAAGAATGCATTACCTCATTATGACATCTATATTTTCTGCATCCTTTCTCCCTTTTTTCTTACTACCCACACACACACACACACACACACACACACACACAACACAGACACACACCTGTGGCCCAAGCTTTTTTTGTAAGTTTGTATAGAGAGGAGAGGCATTAGAACATCCATCAGGTAGGGGTATTAACCTTCTCTGTCCTAGTGTCCATTATCACTGAAAGTGAAAGAAAATCCCAAAACTGGAGTTATCAGAACAGGAATAGATGGGACATCTTCCAATGGGGACCCTAGTTCTGGTGACCCTGCTGACCACCAGGGATTTCTGATAGCTACACTTCCTGTTGTAGTCTCCACAATGGGACACAGAAGGCAAAAAAGCTGACAAGGGTTACAACCCTCCCTTACTCTACCCAAAAATAAAGTTTTGGCTTCAGTTATGCTTTAACTCCTTCTTTTCCTGCTTGTATCACTTTGTTCTTCTATTTTAAGGAGTCACCACCATGGACCATGAAGTAAGGCCTTTTACATTTGATCACTGGTTATGATTGTGATGGGACTGTACATTTGATATTTCTATATTTCTTTAACAATTGTATGTCACTATTTTATTATGGGACTCTACTTTTGTCCAGTTCTTTTACAAGTGTTTAATAAAAACCCACTGAAAGTGAAAACAAGGCAAATGTCCTTGTCTGTGCATTGGGGGAGCACTCAAAAAGGCTTCCGACACAGCCCCAATGCATCTGGTGTGAAGCAGCCCTACAATGTTGCCTTGGAGCAGTGATTCTCAAACTTTGCTCTATAGTGTACTATCATCATAAACTTTGCTGTGTCTGAGTGCTAGATCCAAAATCAGCCAGGTCTGTGCGTTGTCTTCTAATGTCTGAGTATTTTGGTCTAGACTTATCTGGTTATATTCTGGTTTTGACCTTGACCATAATTGATTGTCCTTTCAGGCTTTCCACCCTTGGCTACTCTTTAGTTATTGCAATTAGTTACTAGGCATGATCCTGTCCACTCTACACTTAGGGGTTCATTTATAACTTAAAACTAGCGCCCCTAGATGGCAGTTACAAGTATATGAAATCCCCATACTCACCAGTGCCATCTAGGGGCGCTAATGCTGTGTGAATGACAACCAGGCAGAGCTTTTAGAAATAAACCCTTGAGCATAGAGTGGATAGGGTCATGGCTATTAACTACTAGCAATATACCACGTGTAGCCAGGCAGAACTTTTATAAATATTATAAGTTTGAGGAGCCATTTAGAAAGCATTGGTATGGTGATACCACAGTACCACATGCTCTAAAAAAATAAAGAAGGATAATTATAAAGCACAGTGCTGCGCTTTACAAAAGTGCTTAGCGCTTTGCTTGCTTTAGGACTCTCAAGCAAGGGAAGCCACCTTTATTGTAATGAATAGGGGGAAAAAAGTGTTCAGAGGAGAAGAGCACAGTCACATGATCCCTCAAAGTCATGAAAAGGGTCCCTCTTCCTATTATGGAGTATGTTTGTAGAAGGAAAAATGGCTTACTTTATATTGCAAACCATTTGCACCTACCTGGCTCTTGGTAACTAGACATGTGCGATTCGTTTCGTTCTGAATCGAAATTCGGACGAATTTTCGGAAATTCGGACATTTGGATGTTTCCGAATTACAGACATAACGAATGAAAACGAATCCGAATTTCCATTTCCGAAATTCGGTAGCGGTAGTTCGAACGTTCGTTTCGTATTCTGTTCTTATTCGTTTCGTTCGTTGGAGCAAAGTGACATTAGAGAAGGAGAAAAATATTTTTCCCCCTTCAAATGTCACTTTGCTGCAAACGAACGAAACGAATACGAAACGAATAAGAACAGAAAACGAAACGAAGGTTCGAACTAACGCTACCGAATTTCGTCCGAATTGACTTTCACACCCGAATCCCGAAAAACGAAATAACACAAATCCGAATTTAAAACTAAACGAAACCAAACGAATTTTTTGGCAGTGCACATGTCTATTGGTAACAGTGATCCCAAAGTGCCTTTAATGCTTCTATCTTGTGTGTGTTTAAGGTATATTTTCCATGTTGTTCCATATATTGCCAATCCTTCAAAATAAAAGTGATCTGCTCGGGTTCAGCGGACGTTGGCTATATCGGCACATGCTATGCGTCTATCACTTCTTTCATTTCTTTTTTTTGTGTTTTTCATCATAGAGGAAGATGAATACTTACTCTCAGACTGCAGTGTCCACGGGATGTCCATATGCAGGTAAGAAGTATAAATCACTGCTAGGAATGTTAAAAACCCTTAACGTAAACCTTGTAATTCTGCTCTTTTTCTACATGCTTCACGGTAGAATGCACTTAAACCTTTTCTGTAAGGTAGGGGTGGATAAATCAATATGGAATTTAGGAGCCAGTCTGTAAGAACCAGGAGTATCAAGGATTTTATTTTAGGGGTCAGCTCTATTGAAACCAGCAAAAGAAAACTTCGAACGTTTGCAAGCTGTAATATTTACGAGCATTGCCTACCTGGTTCCTGGGATTGAGGCAATGTAAAAAGCAGTGATGACCTGAAAATTGCACTTACATGTAGAAACCAAAACTTGGCAAACATCTTTTAACTGATCTTATAAAACAACACTGAGTGGTAGCTGTATTAAGTTCTGTTTGTGTCTGTGTACATGACTCACCTCTCCTCATTCTTACTTTTTATTACTACTACTCATTTAAAGTCTTGGCAGCAATAATGACAGACGGTTGTTTATGAGTGTAGAGGGCATACTACTAGTACAAAGCAGGAAGTTCTGGGTGAGGAAACAGGCAGTAGTGTATTTATGAAACCTCTCTGTATTGCTTACAAGCCCAAGACCTTTCATTTTTGCTGTGTGGTACATTTTCATAGTACACCAGCATAATGCTGGATACAAAATAAAGAGTTTCTGTCTTTGAAATGTACGCAGTAGCACACAGTAGCTTCCATTAAGCATATTTTGTAAGGGGATAACGTTTGAAAATATTTAAGGAAAAGCAAGCATATATTTTTTCTCAATGTAGTTTTTCCACTAGTGTAAAGGCTAGCCTTTGTGGCATTTATGCAGGTTGGGATGTCCGAGTACCACTGGTGGACAGTGAATCTGTAAGTAATAGGCTGGTATGCTCAAATGACGCCCAGAGCATAGTGCCAAACCCCCATTAACAGACTCTTAGCTATTTAGTTATCAATTGTTCTTAAAGCTTTCATCTTATATAGATCCACACACAGGCTTTATATAAAAGATCCCACTACCATCAAGAATCAAGATCAGCCACTGCGTCCAGAAATAGAAAGATCATGTGAATGGAGAGAGAAAGAGGAAGGAGATTAGAGGAACTGGCAGAAGCTAGTGGTGCTACTTATCTTAAAGGGGAGCAGTAGTGATTGGTGCAAGTTGTCTAATCTGCTAGAAATGCCAGGCTGTAGGATCACGGGTACACCATAAGCATGAGATTATTGCCTGATATGACTAAAACAGAAACTGTTTGATGTCTGCAGGTACCTTAGGTTCAATTGAAATCTCAAACCTTGTTGTGTCTTTATGGTGCTGAAACCTAAACATTATGATTCTATGGGGGTGATTTACTAACCTAAACACACACACACACCAGGTGTGTGATTTTCACACAGCAAAACGTATTTATCAACCAAAAAGTCTCTAAAAGCATATTTCCACTAATGCCATATATGGAAAAATCATGCACATGATGCATATATAATGCTGCTTCACAGTTTAGACAAAAATGGTTAGCTCATGCATTTACATTCCTGCATTCATCAACGCAAGCAACATAACATAGAGCTAATTTACACCACATTACCTTGCAATTCATTGCAGGGCTTTGCACAACACACCTGCTGGGTGTGTACACACTACAAAGGTGTTTCGATTCCTCCCATAGATCATGCTGGGAGGGAACACACTACAGAGGTGTATACACGTTCGTGGTGTGTTTAAAAGGTTAGTAAATCAACCCCTATGTGTCTGATTTTCACTAGGGAATGCCTTAAAATAACCTTCTATTAGGGAAATACTGCTTACAGCCCTCCCACTCCAGCAATGCACACCGGCAGAGCTGTGTAAAAGCCACAACCCTCATCACAACCCTAGTCGGCCCCGCTGGCTCTCAAAATACCTGAACAATGCCTGGATCCAATCAGATTGTTCAGGTATTTTGACAGCCAGTGGGGTCAGCTAGCAAGATACTGAAGCTTGGCCCAGCGGGAAATTCCTCCATCCACACAGTGTAGCGTAGATGCAGGAATCTGTTGCACTTTTTCCATCTGACCAAAGAAAATCTGCAGATAATCTATAGGTGTATGGCCAGCATTAGACACTTTGCACAACTGACGTAACAGGAAAGTGTAGGTAAGATTAAAATAGAATTATGAGGTGAGTGCTTTTCACTCACCTCATAGTTCTAGCCGACCTGTGACAATGAGACTGTCACAGGTCGGCTCAGTAGATCAGGAAGTGAGCGAACACATACCGGCGTTCGCTCACTTCTCGATCCTGTCACGGCTCTCTGCCGTGACAGTGGAGGGACTGGACTCCCCGCTCCAATCCTCCAGCGCTGACTGGCGGAACGGACGGAGGAGGGGGCGGGTACAGCTGGCTCTGGCTCTAGACAGGCAGAGCCAGCTGCCACTCACGCAGCTGGGCAGATCCAGACATAATTGACAGGATCCGCTTCAGCTTGTCAGGAAGCAGGGGGTGTTGCCCCTGCTCGGGGGGCACGGGTTTCCCCTCAGCTTGGCAGAACTCCTGGTGCCCGGGTTATGGGTGCACATGCGCGAGTTGCGCGGCCGGTGCACATGCGCGGTACGCAGGCTGCTCGCACACCCCGGGGTACGCGCGTAGCGCTCCTGCGCCATTAGGCATCAGGTGTGAGCCTTGCTGGGGGAGGTTCCCTGTACACACCTTCCAACTCTCTCGCCTGCCATTGGTTCCCGGGGAGGGAAGCATCCTGGTTGCCTCGGTGACCGGGGGGTGGTCCTAACTCCCCTGGCTATAAAAACCTGGCCTGAGCTCTGGCTTATTGCTGAGTTATTCCACCTTATGGTGTGACATACGAAGCTCCCCTCCTATGTGCCTTGTTGCCTGTTTCCTGAACCCTCTGCTGACCTCCCGTTTACCGACCTTGGACCGCCTATCGTCTCTGACCCTCTGCTGCCTGCCTCGACCTCGGATTACCCTCGACTACCTCTTTGGATTGCCCCCTTGTTACCTTGCCTTCGCACCCTTCCGGCTGCTTCCTGCCAGCGGGTTCCCCCTGTGCTGCTCGCCCTGCGGACGCACCTGATACAGCTGCCGCGTCTCAGTATATCGTGAGCTGTAGCTCGCGGTATACTGAGCTAAGGGTGACGGGAGGACGCTAATTTGTGTCCTCCCGTTACCCTTAGGAGAACTATGGGGAAAAGCCCTGACCCCATAGTTCTCCTTTAAGAAATTGAAGGTTGTTACCACAATGCCTTTCTGACTGCATATCTATTGCTATGGGCCTTCATAATCTATATGACATTGTAAGTAAATTTTCTGTTGCTTACAGATGAAGTGGATGCATTTAAGTGGGGATCCAGGGAAAGTACTCCTTGCAGTTTTAAGAACATCTTAAATCAAATATTAATTCCATACCCGGAGAAGTCCTTTGCTGCTTTTCAATCTTTGGAATCTGAAGAAGAAACTGATGGTGAGCATTTCTTTATTTCTAACATTTTTGCTATGATTGGAATTTATGTACACCAAAGATAGCTGAAGGATAAGAGTGATAGTGTCTCTTTAAGAAGCACACACGTGTGTATATCAAGGGGCATGACTAAATTGTAGAAAAGTGTTTAACATATAGATATATTTCCACTTTTGCTGCCAAAGTGAGACAACACCTACTTTATATTTGTTACATGTTACAATTCGCATAGCATGACTTAAAAATATTTTACAAATTCTGCTTACCTTTTTAAATGCACATTTCTGAAATATCCTAAACTTAAAAAATCACACTCCTCCCTTTCTGTGTAATGTTTATGAGGGGGCTGGGGAACTGTGTTTGCCATGAATAACATAGTATGTACTGTGCTATGTGTATGTACATATATATATATACACATTTACACTGTATATCATGTATGCTGTGTGAATGAGAATGGGGATTTCTCAAATTTGACTGCTAAGGTAGAAATCTGGTCTCTGGTTTCTCTTCTAGTATTTTCAGAAGAAGAGTTTAGCTATTGCAGTCTACTAATTTTCTCAGTACAGACCTATCCTCTTTACCAAACTCCTCCGAATCAAGTACATAGAAATAATTCATGTCACAGTTTTGCATTTAGTGCAGGGAATGGTGTTCTCAGGCGAACATGCTTCATCAAAAGAGTAAGTTCTTCAAAATTAGGGGGTTGTTATTTTGAAGCACATATATGAACATGCTCTGAAAAAATATTTAAAAGGAATTCAAAGTATTAGGAGTGTATTTAGGGCTGAATTTATACTTCCTGCCCCTAGGTCAACAATATTCTGCCACCATTCTACTACCAGTTAAATAGCTATCATACCAAGATGTCACAGCCATCCAAGGCACCAGGTTAGGCTGGGGTAGGAGAGATTGAAAGAAACCATTTACACACACAGTACACCTAGAATCTCCACCCAGGAAACTTGCATCTTACTATCAGCTATCAGTTTTTAAAGTGACACTAAACTCAGGAGTTAAATCTTAAAAATGCATTTAAGTACCTTAACTATTAACAAAAATGTATCTTATTTGTGTTTCATTCGGCTGTAGATTCTCAAACTATCTCTGAATTGGTACTGACACTGTCCTTCCTTCTGGAGGGTGGCTACTTTTGTTCCCCATGTGTGTGTATTGTAAAGTATCCTTCGCTCCAAGCTCACTCCAATGATGGACTACAATCTCATGTTTAGTTTACTAATTTGTATTGAGATTGTAGTCCATCACGGGAGCGAGCTTGGAGTGGTGGCTACTTTACAACACACACAGGGACCATGGGGAACAAAAGTAGCCACCCTTCAGAAGCAAGGTTAAGGTGCTTTAATCCAATTTTAAGGTGTAACCTCTTTAGTGTCACTTTAGGTGTACATACCCAGAATGTGTGAACTGTGAGTACATAATATACTATGCAATCACCAAAACTGTGTAAAGACAGCGGCATCGAGGACCCATCTCTGGAAGGCAGGGTGGCAGACGTTACTATACAATTTATTGTGTTACCAGGGCTGGTGCTAGGATTTTTGACCAGAGTGTGTCTAGGAAAGAGTAACTACCCCTGAATCATGGTGCAAGACTTCTAGAATACCAAGAGTTATTTTAATAAAAGAGGCAAGCAGCATGTGCAGGCAGCATACCACTTGACTTAAAGTAAAACTGAAGCCCAAATGTTTTTGTTTTAGTTTTGGATAGTGTAAGGAAGAGTTATAACCCCTGTCAGCTTTTTTTTGCCATCTTGGTCCCATTGGGGAGATTTTCCTTCACTTTATGCCCAATAGCCACAAAAGGAAGTGAGAGGAAATACCTCCAAAGCGAAGAAAACCCTGGAACTAGTGTCCCCATTGGACAATTTCTCATCTATTCCTGTTCTGATGACAACCCGAAATTTGAGATTTTCTTTTCGTTTTACCAACAGTCAAATAAAGAGAGTGAGCCTTTCTAACGGGGACACAGACAGCAATAAAAAACAGACAGATGTTTAAATCCCTCTCCACTCTATCCAAAATTTAAAGAAAAAAAAGTTTTGGCTTCAGTTAAACTTTAAACAGAACCTTCCTTTCAAGTGATCAAAACTTGCAATCATTCAGATAATATTTCCTAATATTAAACACAGATCTGAGCAGATTGTTCTAGAACCTATTATACATATCTCGTAACATCAATGGTCTAATGTGGTGATTACACCTTTTCTCCACAGAATGGGTAAATATCTGTGAATAGTTGTCAAGAGGTTTGAAAACCTTTGTATGCAATCAGGGCCGGTGCAAGGATTTTTGCCTACACAGGCGTAGGTGCATTTTTGCGCCCCCAGAACCCTCCCCCCTCCGTAACAGTACGGAGAACCGCAAAATATGTTGAGCAGGACCATAAACTAACACTAACCGCACTCTCTTTCCACTAACAATAGCTGCACTCCCTATTCACTAACACTAACTGGTTAAATGATCCATAGTACAACTACATGTTATGTACTATGGATCATGATTTAACCTATTCATGTTATCAGGGGAGAATTGTAAAATAATTTTATGGTGGATTTTTAATTTTAGTTTCTTTAACTTTTTATTTTTTTTTCAACTTTTTTTTCTATTTATTTGTATTTTTTATTTTTTTTATTAAACTTTATTTTTTTACATTTTTACTCTTTATTTAACTTTATTTTTTATTTATTTACTTTATTTATTACCAATAACAGGCTGGCTACTGTTCCCGCCCACTGCCTGCTGTCAATCAGAGGTTTTCCATCAGGTCCACCTCTGTTGATTGACAGCAGGCAGTGGGCGGGTGCAATAGCCAGCCTGTTGTTGGCTACTGCAATTTAAAAGAGCCAATAGCAGGCTGGCTATTGCGGTCAGCTGCTGGAATGAAGACGATCGTGCGGCTGTCAGCAGGAGAGGAGCGCAGACGCTGCTGAGAGGTGAGTAGACGGCAGGGGGGGGAGCTCACTGCATGGGGGGGAGAGCTCACAGACTGTCGGAGGTTTCTCCTTACAGGCTGTAACCGGCAATCTGTCCCCACTGACACATATCGCTGCAGCCGATCACAGCCTGCAGGGAGAAACCGCTGACAGTCTGTGAGGCTGCAGCGGGGAGAACCCATGCCCTGCAGATAACTGTGTGATAACCGTCCCGGGCACAGTTATCTGCTGGGACAGGGATTCCATTTCTCCCCCCAACCAACAGCGCCCTCAGGCAGCCGCTTGTGTTGCCTTGCGCTAGCGCCGGGACTGTATGCAATGGTATACAAAAATGTCAGTATTCAATAGCTGCCTAAACATAGCAAAATTGTGGCAAGTGAACCCCAAATCTGCCACATCTTTTTTCAAAGCCCTTACTATGCACCTTACTATGCACATTATAATAATAATCAGATTTTTTTCAGGTTCCCAACCCATATTCTTTTTACAGAAGTACAAAGAAGTAGCGTGGCACACCAAAGGACTGGCAGTGGCCATCGCTTTCAAAAAGAACAATGAAAACTACATTGTGAGTGTCAACAGCGATTCATCTATTATACTTAAGGTCAGTATGTCACTTAAAGAAGACACCTGAGTACATTTCATTAGATATCATAAATAAATTAAATACATTTTCATGGAGCATATGGGTTACTTTCTTCTAAAACCACAAAAACTATTTGTTGTGCACTAACCCAAGTGAAGTAGCTTCCACAGATTCACTCAGTTACAAGGATTTAAATGTACACTCCAGTCAAAATTGAAAATTAAGCCTTGAACTACTTAGTGGACACACACGAGACCTGTTTTCAAGATACATTTATTGCACAAGGCTATTTTGTTGTTCAAAATTAAATTTTTGAAAGTACTCTGATGTTCTGTGTATAACATATCTTTAGGAGGTCATTCACATAAGAGCTGAAGGATATAGCCGTAGCTTCGGCTAATCCTTAGGCTCACTTTGGCTGCTGGAGCCCTTCGGTTTAGCCAAACTGAACGGCTGCTGTACGAGCTATTCACAATAGCCTGTACAGCAGCCAAAGGCAGCCAAACAGCTCAGCTAAGCCAAACGCATATGCTTTGGCTCGGCTGAGCCCAAGTCACAGCCGAGGCAGGGAGAACGGTCTGCCGAAGCAGACTGTTCTCCCTGCAAATGTCAAACAAATATTAAAAAAATGGCAGGGGGTCCCCCTCCCAATCCATACCAGACCCTTTAGGTCTGGTAGAAAAGGTAGGAGGAACCTCAAGTTAAAAATAAAAAAAAAGTGCATGGGGTTCCCCCAAAAGTCATACCAGGCCCTTTAGGTCTGGTTGGAATTTTAAGGGGGAACCCCACCCCCAAACAGGAAAAAAATGTGAGTTCCCTCCTAAAATCCAAACCAGACCATTAATCCAAGTACAGCGCCCCCTCCCTGCACCATACCAGGCCACATGCCCTTAGCATTGGGTTAGTGTTTTTCCAGGGTCCGCCAGACAGAGTATTTCCTAGGGTAAAATGTCTTGTCCTCGCACCAAGCGGATTAAGCCTTCCATGTGTGATGGTAGACCTTACGGGAGGTAGATTTCTAAGCTTTCAACAGTATGGCAATTACCAAATCAGACAGGCTCCTGTCTCTCAAGACCTGGGTTTCAATAGCCAAGCCATAAAAGCCAGCAACTGTGATGTAGGATGGCAAGCCCGTCCTTGGGTTAGGAGAACTGGTCGATCTGAAAGAATTCACAGCGTGCCTGCCAGAAGTTTGATCAGGTCAGAGAACCACATCTGTATGGGGGAGTTTGGGGCTAGATCAACAGGTATTTTCTGTACTTGCTAAAACATGTTCTCTAGTACAGCCACCACATCTAAGGACTGGTAAGTCACAATAGATTACATTGGGTGCTTGGTACACTTAAAAACAAGTGTGTGGTTCTTGACCAGTTATGCCCAAGCAATTTGTGCAGCGAGTTCATGAAAATCTGTCATTTAACAGTATACAGAATATATCCATGACAAGTTCTAAACCTCACATATTCAAAAATGTTCTGTTGCCAATCACTCCGTACCCACACAAGTAGATATAATCCTAAAAGCCATTCTGATTTTTTGGGAATGGCAAAACATGTTTTGGCTATGCATTAATCCCCTTTTGTTTGACTTATTTCAGCAATGTGAGCTTCCCAAGGATATACCAGAGAAGGAGAGTGAGATTATCTTCTATCAAAAAGTATTTCGTTCAGAACACCCAAACTCGTTCCGTTTTGAATCATCGCTAAAACAAAATTTTTACCTTGGCTTTAGTGAGGACGACTGTAATAATAAACTGGTTCTAAAGCACTGCCCTGGAGATATACTTGATGAAACAATTAAGTTTATTTTGGAGGATGACTGACAATGTGCCAGCAGTTTTGGATGGTCCACAAAGACCTTATCAATGGAATCTGTCAAAAAAAATCATAGACCTTGTCTCCATTTTCATATTTATTTTTAGGGATGCACCAATACGATACTAGTATCAGTGCTGATACCGAGTATTTGGGCGAGTACTCGCCCAAAAGCTCCGATGCCTAGCCCGATACTTAAGCTTCTGGTATCAGGAAGCTGGGCAGCGAGTCATTACACGCTGCCCGGCTTCCTGATTGGTCGGGAAGCCGGCTCCATGCTCCCTCTTTACTTGGAAGCCAATCAGGAAGGCAGGTGGTGAGTCATTACACCCTGTCTGGCTTCCTTAATAGGACTTCCGGTATTCGATATCGGCAGTACCAAAAAAATAAATATTGATACTCGTACTCGATACCGAAAAACCGGTATCAGTGCATCCCTAGTTATTTTGGTAGTAATTTAATTATTAATAAGAAGTTAGGGCTCCTACCATTCTTTTATGTGCTTTCAAAGTGGAACTCTGTGGAACAAAGTGGCTAAATGGTGTTTAGTTTTGGATAGAGTAGGGAAAAGTTAGAAACTACTGCTCCAGTCTGTTGCCCTGATGGTGACCTTTGCCCTTATTTCCTGTCCCAGTAACTAGTGAGAGGACACAACAGCAGTAATTGCACTTTTTAGTAGATTGGATAAAAGCTAGAACCTCTGTCTGCTTTCTTTTACATCTGTGTCCCGCATGAATGTTCAATTGACTTCCTTTTTCAGTGAAAACACTGTCACCACTACAAGAAGTAAACGGACCTCTATAAAACAGGTCTACAGACAACAATAAAAACCTGACCCTTCCTGTTCCAAACATTAAAAAAAAACTTTGGCTGGATTTACACTTTGAAGTTAATAAAGTTTTTTTTTATATGCCTGAGTAATATATAAAATTATTTCTATGAATAATGTTCATTGCCAAAACACTTTTTATTGACCTGGTGTTAAGTTGGCAAATTTCAGAATATACTGTTATTAGTTCTTATCATCTGTGCCTATCAAATCATCTTCAGCTGAATTTTAAATGGTGTGGATAATACAAAATATGTACATGAGAGCTTCTGTTACAAAATGCCTGTACATTTCAACTTTTGTTAAAAATAAACTGCAGCAAACTTCCAGTAAAAAACACGATTGATTGCCTCAAGTACTTTAAATGGTTCATTATTGTTGAACAGTTACATTATTTTGATTGATTGTGCACATCATATGTTTTTTTAATCATTTTCAGGTATATATTTTCTACTGAATGGGTACAGTGTATGAATGATTATGAAGATAGAACTGTCTGCATTGTTCAAAGAAACAAATGAGGTTTTGCAGCCCTGTTTTTTGTGGCACATAAAAGGTGTATAATCATGATAAGTATCCCCTGTGTATAAATGTTCTTTAAACATCATGACCTTGAGAGGGTGCGTTATGTATTTGCCATGCCTGTAACTGATTTTGCAGAAGCTTGTAGTCAACTCCGTAACAGAAATATGATTATTCACACTCCATTTAATCTCTGGGGCAGGAAGTGTGGGCGGGGGGGTATGAAGTTGGATCAACTTTGACAAGAGGTTGCAGGTCTGGAGCTGGACCTATTATCATTTGCAAAAGCAAATCTAAGGGGGTTATTTATTAAGCTGCCAAAGGCAGCCAAATAATTAACCCAGCCGAAATTAAGGGAACCAAAGCATGTTTGGATATTAGCAGCAGCTCTGTACTATTTTTACCCGTACATCAGCAGCCCTTACCCCACTTCCCTTCAGTTCAGCCAAGCAGCCTCAGCACGTTCGCCTCAGCCAATGCAACAGCTGGAGTGGGGTTCCCCCTAAAAGTCATACCAGATCCTTTAGGTCTGGTAGGAATTTTACGGGGAACCCCAACACCCATAAAAAGTGGGGTCCCCCTAAAATTCCATACCAGACCCTTTATTCGAGCACTGGCAGGGCAGGAAAGGGGGAGTATGAGCGAGCACCATACCAGGCCACATGCCCTCAGCATTGGGAGGGTCCTTTCCCAGGGGGGGATCCCCTGGAAAAGCACCTTGTCCCCATGCCGATAAGGGCAAAGACTTCTTCTGGGCCAGGGTTGTGGGGATCTGCGGGCAGAGGGGCTTATCTGCATCTCGGTACCTCCTTTCATAAAGGAGCACCCAGACGTTTTTACCCCTACTCACTCACCAAAGGGTTGAATTAAAAGTAATTAAAAAAAAAAACACTTTTGAAAAAATACTTTAATCGAACAAAAACACAAAGACTGTTTTTGACAAGTCTTTTATTAGTCACGACTGGCTCCACCCATCTGTCTACATTCGTGTCAAAAGTTGTCATTTGTGGCGGGAGTTTGTCAGGTGGTCGGGCTGTGGGACTTTTTTTATTTAGTCGAGTCAGCGGGCGTTGTTCATCGTGATTGACGCACGCTGGTGTCCCACCCCCCCAAACCCCCCCTGGGAATGCACCCTGCCAATCCTGAGGGCATGTGGCCTGGTATGGCGAGCGGGTCTGGTTGGGAAATTTACAGTGGACCCATTTTTGGGTTTTTTTTTTTAGATTTTTGGGTGTTGGGGTTCCCCTTAAAATGCCTACCAGACCTAAAGGATCTGGTATGACTTTTGGGGGGAACCCTAGTAATTTTTTTAGATCAAGGGTCCCTCCTAACATTCCTACCAGGCCTATAGGGTCTGGTATGAATTGCGAGGGGACCCCATGCTGCTTTTTATCATTCTATTTCTTAACAATTTGCAGTGAGTTCTCCCCGCTTTGGCTGTGTCTTCGGCTCAGTCAAGCCGAAGCATATGCGTTCGGCTCGGCTGTGTGCTTTGGCTGCCTTCGGCTGCTGTGTGGGCTATTGTGAAATGCGGCTAAATGGAATTGCTTTCTGCAGCCGAAGTGAGCCGAAGGATTAACTGAACTTTCGGCTACAACCTTTGGCTCTTTAGTGAAAAAAAACCTAAATCTGTATTATCAGGCAGAGGGAATGGAATGCCAGGATCTAGATCTGTCACCACAAGAGGCAATAGTTCAAAATCTGACTCTGACTGGAGATGAGCTAACCTAGGAACTAACAGGGAACAGGCTGATAACAGAGTCGAGAGTTTAAAGCAGGTCAAATTTAAGAAACAGGAACCAAGAAAAAGGAACCAAGAAAAGGGAAAGAGAATAATCCACATATGTCAAACAGTAGACAGTAGGCAAATTCAGGATAACTGATAACAGCATCAAGGGACAGAAAAATAATCTGGATGTTTCCTGCACTCCTAGATAATTTTTTTGTATAGACTGCAGATTCAATTACATTGTAACACATTTTCTGACATACAGGAACTCAAATACATGCTGAATGCAATTGAAAACCTGCTACTGTCAAGTATGGATGGGAATCATGGATTCCCTCTGTGTCATCTGTTGAGTACACATAGAGTACAATATGATAGATTCCTTTGTCCACGTTAACAGCTAATATGACAGCTATACGTTGCCTATGCTTGCCTTTGCCACATGCTTCATTTGGGATAGACTTACCTCTCGAATGTTGACTAGAAAGAAAACATATTTAAAGAGGAACTACAAGTATGTAAAAAGTTAACCCGTGCAGTGGGAATACCCCCGCACTGCCAGGGATAACTGCTCATTTTTCTCTAGGCTTTCAAATAAAATATACTTATCTGATCCTTGGTGCCTGGCTACTAAACCAGTCCCTGCAGCTTCTTCTTCCATGGGCTCCAGTGGTCTAAGCCCCAATGATGTAATCATGTCTAATACAGTCCATTCACCTCTATTAGTTAGACATCCCAGCCAGGACAGGGGGTAGAGAGCTGAGCACTCGCCGCCGCAGGACTGAGGATCTCGTGAGTACAACTTCTTTTTTCCAGCCCCTAGAGAAAATTGGGCAGTTAACTTTTTCCTTCCTGGAGTCCTTCTTTAAGAAGCAGAAATAACGTTCCTGGATGACAAAAATAACCAAAATCTACTTCAAAGTTTTTTTTTCCTTAAAAGTCTTCATGTGTTTAGGATTGGAAAGAGAAAAAAAATGCAGATTATATTTGGACTGGCATGGAAGAGACTATGTGATCACTGAGGCTCGGCCACAAGTAAGGGGATCATATGAGCTGTCACCTTTTATTAATACAATATATTTTCTTTTTCTTTCTTTGTTTCTCAATAAGTATTTTTTAGTTTTAAAAAAAGAAAACTTGATACAGAACATATAAATGTCCACCCATCGAACATAATCTTATGCCATCAGCTTCTGGAATGGACATGCAGATAGGGGAGGCTCACCTAGAATTATGGAGGAAAAAGCTGTCAGCTTCATGTCTGAAGCTGACAGATGCCGATCTGAATGGAGAAAAAGCTAACAGGTTACACAGCAGGGAAATCCTCCCCGCTGTGTAACCTGTCATGGACGGAGCACCTCAGCAGTGAGGAGCAAGTGATGGACAGGGAGGCTGCTTCCTGTCTCCTCCCTTCCTCCTTTACACTTGCTTTGGGGCGGGGTTTTGTCCGGCGGGGTGGGGCTTCGTCCGGCGGGGGCAGGGGGCTTAATCCGGCGGGGGAGGGGGTTGTTGTGCTGGGGATGAGGCTGGGGAATGCCTCACCCGAAGCAAGAGGTACCGCACGTCACTGCTATACATACTTCTCATACTTCTATTTATCCACACGTCTATCTTATGAAAATAGAAAATAACACTCTTTTAACAGTTATACAATTTTCACCAGTTCAAACATTAACTCTGTGTGCACCAGAAATGGGCAAATAAGGCTATTTTACCCTTTCACCTATCCCAAAAAAAAAAAAAATAACAAATAAAGTAGGGAAGAAAGAAAAAACAATTATCCATGTGTGTGTGGTTTTATAAGTGAATGTGTAGAAGAAAAAAACCAAAACGATATTCTATGTATCTCTTTCGTGGAGATTAAATATACTATAATGGGCACAAAGAAGGAAAAAAAGAAGGGACAGGGAAAGAGAGAGAACGTGCCCATT